CTCGATGTCTCGTTCGCAGATTTGGCTGCACACAAGGCCGGGACAACGTCGTCAAAACTGGTGACTCCATTTAATCCAGTGCTGTTACTTGTCGCTTCCGTGGTCACCCCTGAGTGGACACGAACACTCGTTGGCGTATGTACAGCGTTTCCCGGGCTCAGTAGTATGTGTGTACGCGCTACCGAGGCTTCGTTTGAAATATTGCCCCCGCCGTGAGCTGTCGTGTAAGTGTCTGAAGGTTCTTCGGAAGGCTGACTGTCGGCCGAATCCCCGGCTGTCACTCCAGACGCCAGACAGGCTTCCACTCGTTTACGTTCCTCCAGGATCAGTGCCCAGCGCTCTGCACACGTCAGACGATCACTAGAATCCACTAGGGAGTCTTTTAGAAAGCGTGCTAGTACCCCACTGGGTTCTGGATAGTCTGGTCGATCAACTGCCGAGGGCTGAGTTGCAAGCCATTGTTCGTAGATATCACATTCACGCTGAAAGAGCTCGCGGTCTCTACAACCTTCGTAGGCCAACACTTGCCAGTCTTGGTACGTCTTGCACTCCAGACGCACATAGCCGTCACCTCGTGGAAAATCCCCATCTGGAATCCACATCGCGATCGAGTCGTGTGCTGGTAGGTACACAGTTCGATCAGACACGTTGGTCAACCGAATGCTCTGAGGTCGTCCACGTCGAAACCTCGTCACTGACGGGCTTAACTTGTTCGTTCGTCGAACCCACAGTACGTGTTCTTCCAGCCCGACTTGGCGCTTCGCTAGTCGATGTTCTCGCCACTCGTGCGCTTGAATGTCCAAACGCTCGGGTGGCCTGGCGTTAACATGGGAGCCGTACTCTTCGCTGTCGATCATGTTCTTGGTCTTGATCAGCGGGATTTGAACTTCGTGCGGTAATTGCGCCGCGCCGTGAAACAGGTCCAACCAGATCCCAGCTGGGATCATAAAGTCGATCCCGAGTACCACGTCGACGCCTGCACTATGCGCCATTACCCACATCTCAAACTCGTACACCATCTCCCATCCGAGCGTAATCTTGACGCACGCTCGTCGCATCGTAGACACCTTGCCTTCGTTAATTCCTTGAATGTCGATGCGGCGTCCGTGATCGGGTACATCTCGGAGTCGCAACTTCTTGGCAAAGGCGTCAGTGATCACACTAACGTTCGCTTCTGTGTCGAGGAGGATTCTCGCTTGCTGGTCGTTCACAGTGCCTTGCACCAGAGCTCTCATTCTGATCCGTCGGTCGAATTTCTTGGCCGACCACCACCCCTGTCTCTCGCCAGGGTTCAACTTCATCATCTTGGAGTGACCCTTGTGCTCGTCTCGCGCTGCACTCGAAACCACGCCGAACGAACCCTCGCTGGTGCCCTCATCAGCATCAGCACACTCCACTCTCTCTCCAACGCCTCCACCGAGGTTTCTACTCCTCTCCTTTTCATTTTCCGTCGCGTTCACACTTGTTACGTATTTATCAGGCCATTCACTCTGCCCCATGAAAGCAAAGATACACTTTGCTTCCATTGAAGGCTCGGTTAACTGTGGCAGCCCGATAGGAACCAACCCAGTTGGAGTTGGCGGGCTGCCTAGTTTAAATGACGTTCTTGAACGACGGCCTTGAGCACTGGAGGGAGTTCCTCCTTCGTGCCCTTAGTGCGCACAAATTTGGTAAGGTCTTGGAAGTTGCGGAAAAGTTCGTATTGTCCAGCATCGTGGAGTTGTTTGCAGAACTTGCATCGCTTGTTACAGTAGTGGGCAGAGTGACTCATGCCACCGCACACCGCGCATGGTCCGTACTGTGGGCGTCGGTTGTCGCGGTTGAAGTCACGTCGACCGCATTGGTTCTGATTGAACCCACGGTCACCACCTCGGCGATCTTGAGTGAATCCATTCTCGCGATAAGGCGTGTTTCCACGCGGTTGACGGCTGTCTGAACGTGCGTAGGTGCCTTCAGCGGCTGCGCGGCGCTCATTTTCGTTAGCAGCGGCGAGGTATCGGTCGTTTTCATCCAATGAGAAATCACCATCCGTATGATCGGGCTGAAAGTCGTTGTACTCATTTTGGACATCGTCGTAAGCGTTCGGATCTTCGTTTGAATACTCGTTGCCTCCTTGAGCAGCTTCACGACCTTCTAATTCAGCTAGTAGGTCGTCCACCGTGGCTTCAATGAGTGTCACTCTTGGTTTGTTGCGGTTGTCATCGCGGCGACGGTCATCACGCCGATTGTTGCGGGCGTATGCACCGTCGCGTCGGGCGTCACGATTCTTGGAGTATCGATACTCACTGTCGCGTTTGGCCATTCTCTCCTTGCCCTTGAGAACATCTTTCAATGATCTCTTCGAGCTCGTGAATGTCGGCAACTCGAGCGTGGTAGAGACTCTCCGCCCAGCTTGTCATCATCGCATGTTGCCAGGAACTGCTGTACGTGTTCTCTCGCTTCGCGACCACTCTTCTCGAAGTGTAAACGGGCCGGTCCGAGCGTAGCCATTCAGCCTGTTTCTGTCGTCACACAGATGTTCATTACGTTCCCGCTTTG